GCGGCATGCCCTTTGTTCAGCTATGCTTAAAGGCCTTGCCGGTACATTGTGACCACTGTTTGGGATTTGAGAGTGCACATTGGTGACAGACCGGGTCTGGTGGCCAAGGTGTCGGGGCGAAGAGTGGAAAATAAGGCAGCGGGTCACGTCACGCGAGATGGCAGTCTGTGGGAAATGGAGCGAATCGGAGAGTTAGCTCCGGATTCGCTCCAATTCTCATGTTGCTTGGGTGAGCCAGACTAGTGATGGTGGGTGTGCCGGCAAATTAATACATTTTGGCAACACCTGGCCTTTCTGCTACTCACCGTCTTGCCGACACTGGTGCGCCGGGTAGCCTGTTTCCCATCTCTACCCTCCAGGCCACATGATCTGTCAGCATGGCAGTTTGAAGGTGTGATTAGGAGTTTCGCTTAGCGGGTTCTGTTTAGCCTACGGGCCGTTAATGTGACTTGGGCTCTCGCAGCTTGCCTACTCAGACTGAGCCTTTTGTACTTCTGACTAGCTGGGCTGATAGATGTCAACATGGCAACGTTTGTGTGTATGCGTCGGTCTCTTGATCTGCATACATGAGTTGTCCATGGGCTCGGGCGATTTCGGGCGCTCATATCTCACAAATCGGGCCTTCGTTGTGAAGGCAAAAATGAGGTCTAATGGCGGCTAAAAATGGAGCTGTTGACATGGTAGCTCGGAATATGGTTTATAAGAAAGTATATATGGGACTAAGGCCTCTACATCTTCCAGCATGGGGTACTTAAAGATCCCAATATTCGCCTAAGGCCTTGGTCTAGATTCTAACCCCTTCTCCTGGAGGCTGCCTTAGAGAACACATCCCTGCCTCAGTGTTGATTTACTAATCGTTGAGGTCATTTCTATTTCATGCGAATGTGTGATGTGTCGATAAGGAAGAGTCTCCCTCATACACAAACAAAAAGCTCAGCAACTTAGCCAGACGTGTGTTTTACATTACGTAATAGGAGATATAATTATAATATAAGAAAGGAGGATGGTTATTAAACTTCGATTATTGAGGACGGGTGTTAGGTTTTTTTCTAATCAATTTGAGGCATTACCGCCAGTATGGTAGATGTACGAATATATCAGGGTGCATAATCACAAACACATGCACATTGTTCTAAAGTGGCATA